CTCTCTCTCTCTCTCTCTCTGCCCGATTGAAATCGATTTCGATATATAACGTAACGTGCAAAAGATAAATGGAGTTCGCCGAGTTCTAACGCGCCGTTTAACAACGGCCGGTCCTCGCCTAGACTAGATTTGGTACCACGACCAGGGTGTAAGTGGATCGAGTAAAGTATCACAGCTGGCCCCCGCTGTAATATCCAAATGAAAAATAAATGAGGGATTGGGGGGGCCTTAAAAGAGTCGTGCATTCGCCCCGACTCCGTTCCCGGCTCGGAACCGATTTCTTATACGTTACCCGTCTCATTACTTTATTGATAAGTCATCTATGAAACGTAGAAAAAATTATACAAATAGCGGCTATCTAAGATCTCGGGGTTCCCCGGGAACGGAGCCGGTCCGATGGGACTCCCTTTTTTTTGCGCGTATTTATATTCAAGTATGTATAACCGTTATTATTAATAATAATATTAATTATACTCTATTTTTAAATATCATTAATATTATCATTATTATTAACTCGCACGCTAAGGTAATCGCTGTGACGGTGCGTGAAACGTTACAGAAAATTGTATTCGTCAATTTCCCGCGGGGAGAAGAGAGTGCCAGCGAAGCAAAAGCGTTTTCCTTATAACGAAATTAGTTTTATAGTTGTACGACTTTGAGATACCTATGGTCTACAAGTTGTAAAGTAAGACGCGCGTATCGAGGAATGTAAGAGGAGTCCAATATATCGGCGTGACGAATCTCTGAGACGACTCACGCGCATCGTATTTTGTATTTGTATTGCACCGGCACAGCAAATTACTTCTATTATATCGAGAAAAGCGTGTCGAGATCGCACGAGGCTTCGTCATATTTTTCTCTCGAGATTCTACTTTATACACGAAAATTATAATCACAGTTCGAGTCACCCCGCACACCTCCGGATCGTCGCGCTCGGTGAAAACTGGCGTGCCCTCCGCCGCTCGTGACGATTTAGACTTACAAACTCGTGGAACGGTCGAATCTAAACCCCTCGCACAACAAAGTCTATTTTATTATATATATTTCAAGTAGCTAGAAATCAATACATAAGGTTTCCGAGTCACGGAACTCGATAACGATGTAGAAAACGCTAGTACGAAATTTCCTAATAATCATAGATCGTCGTACGCCGCGCAATGTATATTCTTTGTCAATACCCAATGGCGAAGTAGACGTGGAACGAACGGAGAAAACGCGCGTAGACACAAGTGGTCAACCGCAATATGACAGTTCTATTTAATTCATTTAAAAAGATTTGAGTTATTATATTGAACAGACGCGCCTTTTCAACGCACTTTTACGACGAATCGTCGGTAACATCGGCGGTCTTGCTTTTCTTTAAATTATATATTTACCGATGTAATAGGGGAACGGTACAAGATAGACTTTAACGAGATATAACATTGGCAACCCAAAGATACGTTAGCTATTCGATACCTGAGATTTTCACGACGTTTTGGAAAGAGTCTGATATGAGGAATCACACGAGGAATTTGGATTCCGCGTGTGTGAATATTGAAGCCTCGCACGAACGCGGTGCCATAATGTTGAAATCTCTTAAAATATTTCCTATCTCTGACTCTTCTTCCGTTTCTATCGCTCGAAGAATGCAGCTCTCCTCATATGTGTTCACATATCGTTATGTAAATAGTACAACCGAAATCCCGTATAATATATCGCTCTGTGTACGCGCGCGTGTGTATGTGTGTGTGTGCGCGTGTGCGCGTATACGTGCTGTGTTCCGTAAAGTTGCGACATGTTCAATGTATCGTCGGTAATAATTGGAAAGTAACGTTACATCATTCACCGTGAATCATTGTTGAATATGATTCATATGAATTGTCATTATTTTAAAATGGACGTTCATATCTATCGAACTAAGTAGATTTCAAACAACTGTTAGGAAAGTTATATATACAGCCGAGTCCCGCGTGACATTTCGGCATCTCGTAAACTCCCGTTTGTAATTTCCTTAAATGCTTGGCTACTTATCAATGTCCCACGGCGAAGAGCGTGTCTTCGAGCAAACAAAACGTACGAATTTATGGACCGTCGTTTATCGCATAAACGTTCCCTAGAAACTTATTCGTCTCCACCGCCAGCATCCGTCTCGCAGTCGCAAGAGCCGTTAACTTCCACAACTTCCGGCGCATCTTCGATTGTTGTGCCGTTGTCCGCGTTACTCGCCGCGACGTCTATCCTCTCTTCGGACCGCTCCTCGATGGTTTCGAGAAGTTCCTCCTCGACCTCCTCTCCCCCCTCAAACTTGTCGACGATCGACTCGTCCTCCGCGACTCCCGCGGGATCCCGTATCGTTTCCTCGCTCTTCTCCTGGTCGTGTAACGCCGTTATTACCCTCTGCTCGATCGTGAGCTGTCTCACGGCGTTCTCTAAATTATCCCTAAGAATATTCGCATCGTTCTCGCTCTCCTGCCACGTGAAGGGCATAAAGATCATTCGAACGAGTTGGTAAAGCCGTGTAAAACCCAGCTTCTTGTACAAGCTTTGGCTAGCTTCGTTTTCTGGACGTATAACTACAAACGGATAATATCCTTTCTCGGTTACGCGTTTTGTCAGGTACCTAAAAATTTCATACACAAACTGTTTCACATATTTCAATTTCCTCGGCGTGTGCGTAACGATATCATTTAATCAGCGTGGATGAGTACATTCACGCAAATAAAGAGATGCAACTACGGCTATCCGGTCAAGCGTACTTATTATCCCTACACGGAGAGACCGATACGGTTACCACATGTCTAATTAGGGTTGGCACAGCCCCAATAAATAGTAATATTCGGGACAGCTATATCTGTGGTTGTTATACCCACATTGGTATGATGAGCAGTGGAGACAACTATATGCGTTTTGTCCAGCAAACTTAGTGAATGTTGCGACTATTTACGCGGCAACATTGTCACTTGAGTTAATTCTGCCTTAGCCGGTCTTTCCGCGTAGTCACAAACATTGTGTAAGCGCTATTAAAGCCGTTCCCTACCTTGCTAACTTCGTCCCATACCCCTTCCTACGATATTCCGGCTTGGTCTGCATGGAGAACATAGCCCCGTAATAGGACTGAACCATCCAGGCGGCCAAGCTACCCTTCGCGAACACTCCCGCCGCGGGTAGAGTCCTGATAAGTCGAAGGAAAAGCTCGTGGCATTCCATGTCGTTCGCCGGGTACAACTCGTGGATCCCCTCGGCGTGCTCGGCCTTCAGAGGCCGCACCTGGACGTCAGGGTCGGACTTCTCGTCCTCTAGGCTCTCCCCCTCTTGCTCAATGTACTCGCACGCGCAGACATCGCCCACCACCGTCTCGATGGTGCCGGTACCTTCGTAAAGACGCGTTAATTCCTCGGCAATATCGTAGTGAACGAAATTAATGTACAAAGGTCTCGACCAGTCTATCAGAATGTCCTCCTCTCGGAGAAGGCGAAGCAGTTCCAGCCGGTTGTTCGGGCAGAAGACGCCGACGCTCTCGTACACCAAACCGTGTGGCTGAAAGCATGACGGGAGACGCGATTAGTCCGTGGCGCAGGGAAATAGAGGCTTTATACGCGAACGATAACACTGGGAGATCGTAAAGTCTTTACGATCTATTTACCGCTTGCTGTCATAATTTACACGCGGCTTTCTCTAGGATCTGCAAGAGCTTGGGAATAGATTAGACACTTTGATGCGCGCCAGCGTTTCGTATTAAACGCTAAACGATGAAATTACAGTCCGACGTTTACGGTTCAATTTGCGTTTACGCGCGGTGTCGAAAAACACTTGTACGGAATAATCGCCTGACGCGCCGAGTATACGAATGGTACGGATTAGCGCGGCTGGTGCTAAATGTCAAAGGACACAGCGCGGTTCTTGGCGCGGTTGAAGCTCGAGAGGGAACATTATACGTTACGCGAAACTAATAATCAACGGTCAGTGAAGTTATGGTACTGCGGGGGTGGTAATTAACTAAAAAGCGTGGACAAAATCATCTCGGAAGGAATCGAGAAGCTGGGGCGAGTCGCGATTCGTGTCAGCGACGGCAACGGAGGGAGCAAAGGGGAAGGCGAAATTCTGGCGGACGGCCAAGTTTATGGGATGTGGGCCAACACACTCTTGCACCCTGCACTGTGAGAAATGGCGCGGCCGCAAGCGCACGATAATGAATTTTCGGTGCCTCAGTGGCAAGGCCACTTTTTCCATCGACTTTTTGGCATTGTTTCCCGAATTAACGATTCGACAGTCAGTGCTGCGGCGATTGAATTGCTTCTTAATCGAGACGGCTCGCTTTCCTCTAATGACTCGCCGCGTATATTTCGCGATACAAAGAGACACGATGTACAGGCAACACGTACGAAATAAATCGAATTAATTTTAGGCGGACAACTTTTTCAAAGTACGAGAATGTAATTAAGACAGTAAGTGGGAAACGCTATCTCAGGCGAAATACTATTAGAAAATCAGAACTTTTGTTCAAGATTGCATTAAATAAACTTCCTTCTCCCTCGAATTAAATTTATACTTACAGATAATGTCATTCCGGGAAAATGTAAGCAGATTGCGTCCTCGGGCCAATCGTTAGCCACGTAGAAATGGAATTCCCAGACTCTGTCTCGCATATAAGTTAACACGGTTTGTTGAAACTGCAAGAAGTTCATAATGTTAATGAAACATTCCTCTCTTAATTAAATAACGTAAATTATTATATATTATAAAATGTAATTAACATGGGTTAAATCTATTCTTCGTGAAATATGACGTTGAGAGCGAACATTTACATCGAAATGAGTAGGAGAGCATTTATATTCGCGCGCGTCAGCTTTAGCATGGACGCTGTGTGAAATGAAAGGGTATGTTTTTGAGAAAGTTGAAACACATACAGACAGAGGAGGGGGGGGGATGAAAGAAAGAAGATAAGAGAGAATCTAGTCAAAGGCAATGCCCGGTCCGTTGAACCTTAAGATAACCATTCAGTCCGCGCCACTCTTAATATTCTTTTATACATAGTTTCCTTTCATTCCTAACGTGATATATAAAATGTGTATAAAAAAAAATTTTATCCATCTTATACACCGATAGAAAAATATGTAGTATTTGAAGCTATAATCGTGTGCTAAAATAATTATAGTCAGGACTTTTATAGCAATTATTAGTATGATATTAGTAATAGCAACCATATAGACGTGCAGTGATGCCAATTATTTAACAAATTTACCATAAAATATAAGTCAGAAAAAAACCAGTCGTTTACAAATGTGTTAATTGAATTGGGCGGTGCAACTGCACCGTTTGAAATAAACGCTAAACGCACACACTTCGTATTTCTGTCGCGTCGAAGAGTTCCTCAATTGGGTATAATCGGATGAAAATAACGAGCGAAACGAAGCGTACGTAAATTTCACCCAAGAATAGCATAATAGCGCGCAAGTAGTCGAGTTAACAGTTTCAGAGATAAGACGGATCGATGAAAGTAATTGCACTTTTGCACGACAGCTCGCTTTTGACTTTCCAAATTATTGAGTTGACGTCAAGACGAATAATTGTATCGCCGTATTTTTACGCGGATTACAAGAGTCGCGTGTGAAGTCTCTCTCTCGCGAGTATCGTCCGCGAAAATAAAATCCGTTGAGATTATTATTCAATAAGTAAGAACAACGTATGTGAAATATTTAGAAATTGCAATCTGACGTGCTCAAAGAAAGCTCGTACGGACCATAAAATTTTGATTATTACCCAATCGCGTGACATGTGCGGGCCATCGATCAGACTGCATATATGGCGCGCGCATTCTAACAATAAGTAATGCTCATATTTAAATCATTTCGAGAACCGTAAACAAAACCGCGATGGTTAACAGTACACGGTAAACACGGTGCGGACAATTGCACGCCGGTCATTACTTCATGCATCGTATTTTCTGTGCAGACGATGCGAAAGGATACGCGGTACAGGCTGACTCGTATCTCAAAGCCGAGCCAGTTTCGAAGCTGACAATTAGCGACAATTTTATCACCCTCGATATCTCGTGTCATTAATTCACGGTACTCCGGTACCGTGTATCCCCCGCGTTGCCCCGGCGCGATCGCGTACCGAATCGTTACAACGGACACACAAATGCCCCAACCCCTTTTTCGTTGGCGTTGGCACACTTGCAACTTAGAATATTGCCTCGATTTCCATCTCATCGATATGTCATCTTCCCCGTGCCTCCCCGGTACCGGCTCGCGCTTTATTCGCATACGCTTCCTCAGAATTGTTAAAGCGGATGCCTCCGGATATACATACATGTCCCGCTTTACGGGCCTCGCGTGCCGTCGTTGAAACGTGCGGCGACGATTGCACGCGTTCGATATGCATACGGATTTATGAGAACCGCGCCGCTTTGATAACTGCGAGAGAAAGAGCGAGAGGGGGAGAGAGAGAGAGACAGAGAGTGATACTGGAAGAATGAACGGCGCGCTGTGCCGTACACCATTAGATCGAGCCCGGCACGAAAATGATTGTGCGCAGGCCCTGCAGTTTATCCCGGAATAAACCGCAGACACTGGTTCCTACAACGTAACGCCGCGGAAAGGCATTCCGGGGGTCAAGGTCGCGCGTATCCTGACGCACACGTAATGCCATTGCTTTTTCGTCGCCGCGGCGCACGTATAAGGGCAATCGATGCACTTTGCATGCAACGTATCGTCAAAGTCCGCCGATGATTGATCGGCGGCAACGATACAGCGTCCGGCGCGCGGCGATGCCGATCGCGCGTCTCCCTTCGGCCCCTTCATCCCCGCCTGGCCGTGCATCGAAGTCCTCGATCGCTTTCGCCCACCCACATACTTCTCGCGCTTGTTTTTCTATAAATAATTTGCCAGGCGGACCGCGATTGATTCCCGTCGACTGGCTCGGTCTAATCCGCGCTGCCTCCCCGCGAGAGACGCGCCGCCGCCGGCGGCGGCGGCGGCGGTGGAAAAGCCACGAGACAGCCCCTTCAATTGAACAATATCTCTTTGTGGCGCGGCTGGTACTCTCGCGATGATTGAAAAGCGTACGCGACCTTTCACGTTGAAAACAAGCGTGCCCCTCTCTCCGCGGGACGAAAATACCGAGGGTTTTAGCGTGACCATTTATATAATCGAATCAATAAATTGATAATACGAGCCCATCGTCTTCCCCCCCCCGGCGGCGCGCGACGCCGCGCGGCTTTTACCGAAATGCGATTTCAGTTTCGACGATAACGTTAAGGTCGCGGAAACGCCGTTGTGTGCGCTCGCAATTATTAGCATCGACGTGACGCCGCGGATTTCCTCTTGGAGTAACGCCGGGCGGCGTAACCCCGTGCTTAAAGGGAAATCGCGGATGCCGCGGTAGTCGCGAGCGAGGTCACGAGATCGGCACTGCGGCGGCTCGCGAACAATACGCGACGACGACGACGTGTGCGAGCAGGCGACCCTGGCCTTGATTCCAGCACACCTTGCACGGCGATTTTTCGATTAAGGGTAGCGTGGTCGCGCGTCATAACGTTGATCCCTCCCCGACAACGGGACCGAGCAAAGTTTGTCGAGCAAGGGGGTGACCACTTGATGTAATCGCGGGTCAGTGTCTCCGAAATCATTATGAAATCCTTACGAAATCCCCGTGTAATCGGTTCGTCTTCATTTTTCTCACTTTCCTCACCAAGTTTCCTCACTTGTTAGACAATAAACATTATTGTAGTGTATTGCTCTTTAGCCGCGACAGGATGTTAGGGCCAGTTTCACAAACTTCGGTGAACTGTTAACTAGAGCTCAGTCGGCTCCCTATCTTTTTCCATTTTATTATTTAAGAAGAGACAGAGGATCAATTAACCCTCGGTTGGCAGTTAACCGATGTTTGTGAAACCGGCCCTTAGTGTCTAAATATTTACTGATTTAAATTTATTGCGACAAATATTACCTCAGCCAGGGTTTGGACTCCCTCTCGGGCGTCTCAATCAATTCGACCACCGGGGAGGCATGTGGAAATATTCATCGCAATAAACAGTGTTGATTCCAGAATGCCACATATCGTAACGGTATATTATAGACGAGAACTGCGAATTATTGTTTTCACCACATCAGCTACGACATTCGCTTTCACGATTTAATATAATTGTGTGACGCTGATATTTACGGCGAGGCATGTTAAAAATAAAAAAAGGCGAAGTAAAGTTGAAAAAAGCATATACAATTATTCTTATCTGTCCGTTAATTATATATGCTCTTTATAGTTTCACATATCGTATAGACAAAGGTTAAACGCACACATATCACTAAGTTTTTCCTTGAAACAAAAAAATTGCTGCTCTCTTGTTGCTAAAATAACAAGCGGAAATTTGTTTGGTAAACTAAGCGTTTATTACGTTATGTTGAATAGCAAGAAATTTAAGATACCGCACAACGATCGGCACAAGAGGCAATCGAAACCGTTTGCGCGTCTCTTAAATAAATATATAGACATTTACATACGGTCAGCGAGTAAAAACTTTCACAAGTATCCGCACGTGTGCTCGATGTCGTAACATCGCCCTGCCTGAAATAATTCTACAAAATTCTACAAAAAAAACATTAAATACAACTGCCAGAATCTACGAAATTCTACGTAAATTTTAAAAGTGTTATAAAAATCAACACGAAAATGCTAGAATTGGAACACTTGTTAATTTTTGTAACATTCTACAAGCACGCAGACGTTTTAATTCTTTAAGACTTTGTTTCTCAAAATTTTTTTAACTAGCAAAGTTTTGTACTAATTTTCACAAAATTGTACATTTTCATGAAACGCCGCTTGCAATAATTTCTCGATTTGAGAACGTCGTAAGTTGTGGTACGACTTCGCGGATATTTTTACAAGGAAATAAATGTTCCAACGAAGATACAAGAATTTCTACAAATTTCTATTTCGAGCCAAGTTTTTGTAGTCACTTGTAGAAATTTTTTCCGCCAGGGCGGCATGTCATTTTTACGGAAAATACGCGGGTATGCCACGTGACGCGTGCGGCGCGCATAACTCTCTGATCGTCACGACCGTAATACCGGCACTCGGAGGCAACCTAGGGGCTTGGACATCGTTTCCTTCGTGACAGTAACCTTATCCTATCAATGAGCGAGATTGATCCCTCGAGAGCGCGCGCGCCGACCTATTCCGTGATCACGACTTTTCGCGAACTTTGCGTCGAATAAAATGCCAAAAAAAAATCGCGAGACGATAAATCCAGTCCCGATCTGACCACGTGTTACTCCCGCCTCCCCCTGCACCCCCACCCACCCCTCCCCTCCTCGACCCTCTCGATTACGTGTTTTCTTTATAGAACTTTACGTTTTATCGTGAACTGGAAGTTTGCTAAATATACGTTCTCACGGTGTGCGCTGAGTTATATCGATTCCGAGACATTGTTGTTACATCGAGTAAAACGGCGAGACGGCGGGTGCATGGGGCGCGGAAACCAGGAGCGTTTATTACAAAGGTTGCAAAATAATGGGTCTGATATTAGTCTGGCTCTCTCGCGTGCTGCGAATTCGTGTCGCTTTCTCTGCGGCTTTAATTGCATTATTGATCGGCAAAATAATCGCCGGTGCAACTTATTGTTCGAAACGGAGACTGAGGTCGTTCACAGAAGGGGGCTAATTTGTACGCCGAATGGAATAATTAACCGGCATTGGGGACAACGTTCTCTCCTTCCTTCCTTCCTTCCTTCTCGCGGACGTGAGAAAATTCAGTTGCCGTCAATCGTCCGAAATGATCTTCGAAAGTGCGTAAGTGACGATAAAACGATAGAAAAATTAACGGTCGGTTAACTTTAAGATTGAGGTCAGATCGTATCGATTTCAAATGACAATTTGGGAAAATGCGTAATGAATTTTTGTGAAGATAAACAAACGTAACGCAACGTCGACAAATATTATTCACAGCTGTGTATACAAATAAAGCCACCTGTAATTTAAAAAAATAACTTTTACCGCACATCTTCGACGTATTTTTTTCATTAGGTATCGCTCCCTTTTCAGTTGTATCATTAGAGTTCAGGGATTCTATATATATTTCCCCTATGCCACTCTCATCCTCTTCGTCGGGAACTTTTACTCTTCCGTAATACTTTTTCTGCTTTCATCAACATCAAATTAGAAGCTGACGGCGCTTTATAGCCTCCGTATTGAGCATGTTGGTAATTTATAAGATAATAGTGTCAGGCGAGCGAAGAGACGTGTAATATTCTAAATCTAAATATAGAACCGGTCCTCAGCAAACATATTTCTCAATAATTTTCCCTATCGCTATCTGTTATCGTGGAGACATAGGCGCGCACCGTGCACGCGTGGCAAAAGAAAAATCGGAATGAGGAAAAGACATTTATATTACTAGCTGCCGTGAAAGGTGAACAGTGGCATGCGGTATAATATAGCACGTACCTTCAACGACTCAGGCAAGTACCCCGTAAGAAAATCTAAGAGCTTAGATAATTCCTCTTCAGCTAGTAGACGAAAATTCCGACCTCGTTCTACCGCTTCGGGGCACTCCATGCTGAAACTAATTACCGAAAGATTACTGGCGTAAATGGCACGTAAACTTCCGAGTCTCCTTATAAACGCCGGCCTCGGGAACAAAACTCCGATTATCTCGAGATTAATCGAAAGAGAGAGGAGAGGGAGAGAGAGAGAGAGAGAGAGAGAGAGAGAGAGAGAGAGAGAGAGAGAGAGAGAGAGAGAGAGAGAGAGAGAGAGAGAGAGACAGAGAGAGAGA